TCCCCCCTCGACGCGGCCGCCCTCGCCGTCAAGTCGAGATAGGGCAAGCCATTGCATCCGCCTGTTGTTTAGCCCCTTTGCGCCCTCCCCGTCCGACATCGTCTTCCGTTCGAGGTTGATGGATCCACCGCTCAGTCCAGCACCGGCGTCAAGAATGCAGATGCCCGCACAGACCCGCTCGTCGCGAGATCGGCCCAGTAGAGGCCGCCAGCCTCGATCGCACTGCTCGGCGCAGCCGGGCTGTGCTGCGAGACCACAGACCCCAGGGGCTCGCGCCTGCGACGCTCGCAGGCTTCGCACTTGAGCTTGGCCGTCGACCCCAGGGCGCGCCCATCAAGACACGCTTCAGGACGTCCGCGAGAGCCCCGTTGCTGCGATGCAAGAGGCGAGCATGCAGCCGTCGCAGATATCCGTCAATCATGCCGTCGTCAACCTGCGCACCGCCCTCGTCCGAGACGCACGGTTGAGGCGGGTGGCCCCGCCTGATTTTCATGAGCAGGTGGCCCTAGCTCTTCTGCGTGAGGTTCAGCCGACTGCTGCCGCGCATCCTCGCGCTGGTCGCTGCCCCCCCGGCAGCACAGGCGCGCCCGAATATGCCTCGCGCCTTCGGGCAGTGCAACATGGATCTCCTCGTTGGCGGGCATCGCCTCGCCAGGCTCGTCACCCATCAGCTGGCTGGCGCCAACGCCCCGCGTCATGCGTCGCATAATCTTCAACCAGTATGGCCCGCCCAGACCAGCACCCTGGCGCGTCGTCACGCCCCTGCCCTCGCGCTCCCAGCACTCGAACTTGCACTCCGGATCGACGTCGATCTCTGCCTCCAAGTTGGACCCCAGGCGCCTGGTCTTCGGTTCGGCAGCGGCTGATCGCCAACAAACCTCCCCCTGACTGCGACAAAATTCTCTGACACCGCCAAATCGCGGTCGCCCCCTGCCCACGCACGCCAGGCATCCCACTCTGGAAGCTCCACGATGGCGTTGGCTCACCTCTTGCGCAACAGGGTCGGGCGGGCCCCCTAGACACGGCATGGTTCCCTTGAGTCGGCTCGTGGTAACGGTTGCGCACATTGCCTCGCACATTCGCACAACCAGCGCAGCGTTGACGCGAGGGCCCAACGTCGCGATCAGCCACTCCTTCTCGACCAGCTGCTTCGTCGCGGGGCCCACCATGCAGCACGCACAACCATCCACTCGCACAATGAAAAGCTGCTCCCTGAGGCGCCTGAAATACAATAATGACCAAATACCGCATTTCAGGGGGTGCTCGAAATCCGCCTCCGCGCTGCGTTGCAGGGCCCAGTGAACCCAGTGGCACACACGCGTTGGCCACCTTGTCTTTCGCACGCCCCCTGGCCTCCAGGCGCTCGCACTGCCCTGGCGTCTCCTGGCTGCCGTTCTGGGCGATGGACCTCGCAGCGCACGGCGGCGCGAGCGCGACTCGCCTCGGCCTCTCCAACGCCAACGTCCAACTCTCACGTCGGCGCCCCGCGTTCGTCGCGAGGTCGCACCCGTTTCGCAGGCCAAATTTCACCACCTTGCCGCCCAGCTTCGCCACGCTCGAAGTACCCGCGCGGCCTCGACCTCGTTGTCGCCGCCACTGAGTGCGTAGAGCCGCTTGCGGCGCAGCCCTCTCAGACTGGTAAAATTAATCGCCACCTTGCTGCTCGGATGGCCACCCGTAGAATCGTCATCTGCAGCTCCTCCTCAGCTGCGCCCAGAATTTGGATCGGCAGCTGCACCACTTCCCCAGGAGGGGCCACACGCGCACCCGCCTCACCCACTGGAATCTCCGATGCCATGTCGTCATCCGTCTGGATCCGGCAGGGGCGCTCGGTCGGGTCTCCATCGCGGGGTCCCACTCAGGAAACTCCATGATGTTTTGTTTCATCGCCCTGTTCAGGTCTATGGTCTCTGCCACTGCCCCGACCCACCCACACCCCCCTCGACCCCCTTGTTCGGCGTCGGCCCCTTCCTCGCTGTCGGACAGACATTCGCCTGTAGAAGGCGCGGCGGGCCTGGAAACGTCCTCGGCGGCGAAGGCGAGCTCGAATCCCCCACAACTGCCTGTCGGTGGTCTTGGAGTCGCCATCGTCGCTGAGGAGCTCTCATCGTCTGCTTTATCTCAGGACACCCTGTAGACTGATGCCCAGAATTCGACGCCCGGCCGAGGGTCCCCTAGCGCACATTGCTATTGCACCCCGCGCAGCTGCTGCCCGCTCTGCGGCTGATTATGGAATCGCTCTGACCCATTCGCTCTCATCCCTTCGCAGCTGATTATGGAGTCGCTCTGACCTCCTCTGCCACTCACGCACCCATTCGTAGTTCATCATGGAGTCGCTCTAGCCTGCAGAACGGCCCCGACTGTCGCATTCCCTATATGTTGGACGCGTCTGGCCGAGCAAGTGAGCCTTCTCGTTCAAGGGTCAATATCGCATCGCACCCAACTCAAAATCCCCTACGACCCCGAATGCCTCCCGAAATCCTTTCCTGTGAGCGAGGGAGCTTCCTCGTCCACCATCGAAACTGGGAAATCACACTCGTTTGGATCTGTATAACCTGGGAGCAGGGCGTGACTCGACGACTAGGTATTCTGGCTGCTCCTGGAAGTTAACTCAATAAGCAGTCCATCAATTTATATCATTCGACTGTAATCTTGAATATTGCACATAGTTTCCGGCCTTTTTCTGCACAATCTCTCAACCGATCAGAGAAGACGAGGCCCCCGTGTCCAGGACGCCCTCCCAAATCCCTGAGAGCCATGCAGATACACTGCGCGTACACCACTAAGACAAATCTGATTTCTCGTCGCCTAGCCCGTGGGACGATTTGGTCCTCTTTGCTGCAAATCGTACTCGCATCCTCGCAGAACGTGGCCTGATAACTGTAAATCGCGTTCGGGTCCTCGCACATCTTCTGCTATTCGCTGTTGCTCGCTTTCGTCAAGACCATGATGATGGATCCTTGTAACTTACCTGCGTCCGTGCTGGAGTTTTCAAAGATGCCGCGCAGTCGTTGGTAATGTGTCCGAATCCGTCACACCTCAGACACATCATGCTCGGGTCCGTCTTCCACGTTTCCTTGTCCTTCCTGTTGCGACCGTGGCTGCTGGCGGAACTCGAAAGGCATCCGGTCGAAGCCTGCGACCTAGACCCTTTGCCCAGTGACGCCTGGTATTTCTTCCGGCCGAAAAACGTGCGACTCGTCTTCTTCTGGCGTAGGAGCTCACGGGCCTGCTTGAATCAATGTTGACCCTGCTGAGCTGCCGCGAAAACTGCGCCCTCGAGCAACTACTGCTTCATTTCCTGGTCGCCGCCTGCCTGGTCGCAGATATCCTGGAGCTGAGCGCCGATGCCGTCGTCGTCATCGGCTGCCGCCAGAACTGAGGCGGTATGTGGGAGAAGCTCGTACAAGCCATCATCACCTAGGTCGTCATCATCATCTTCTGAATCATCGTCTTCTTCGCCCTCGGCCATGTAGTTGTGCTGCCGTAGTTGCCACCGCTGTTGGGTCGGCCTGTGGCCCGTGGTCACGCTCATGCTTCTTGTCGAACTGCATGCCTTGACCGAGCTGGATGTGTTGATCCCCGTACTTTGTTCTGCACCGAAGCCAGCAGGTTGGAACGCTCATGAGCATCGTAGCCTGTGCTCTCGAAGAGAAACCATGCTCGCAATGGCTGAGGAGATATCGGCTGCTTCTCATCGGACCTCCCGTCGATGGCATTGATAACCTTCGGCATCCTATTTTCCTCGACTTCGATCGGTGTCAGGTAGTCTATCGTCGACGTCATTGGCTTGCGGTGCGTCTGCTTCATGAGTGTCCTCATGTACTTGCCAGCGTTCTCTACCTCCACGATGCCCCTCTTCTCTTTCATCTGGAGCAGCTGACTGACCCCAGTTGGCAACTTGGTCGTCGGGTCTTCTTCCGCGTCGTCCAAAGAATGTACCTCGTCAGATGTTCGAACTCCATGCCATGCGCAGCCGTGTAGCTTGGACGTCAGCCTGGGGCCGCACAGACACTTCCCGTCCGTCCTGGTGCCCGCACGTTAACTTCACTCGAAGCACGCAGGAATCAAAACTGGCAACGTCGCCGTCCCATGCAAGAACGACCTCCTTTGTATCACTCTCTGCCGTCATGACGAACCGGCCAGTGGAGCCAGACCGGCTGCGCCGCTAACCAGATTGTCGGCGCAGGCGAGCAGCCTCGTCAGATACCGGCAGCCGCAATGATCGAGCTTGTCCAGCACAGCTCGCCTGTCCGACACATCTGAATATCTCACCTCGGCGGCCGCCCCCTGCGGGCGATGAGCCACTGCTGCTCTGGAGGCACCGATGACGCTGCCTGCCGCGTCGGGCCCGGGAGCCTTCGCTGGGACCCAAGGGCGCCACAAAGCCACCACAGCAGCGGAGAGGGGCTGGGCTCAGAGGGGGCACGGGTCGGAGGGGCCAACCACGCAGGATAAACTACGGGAGAGAGGGAGGGAGGGGAGGAGGAAGGAGAGGGAGAGAGGGAGGACAGGGAGGGAGGGAGGGAGGGAGGGAGAGGTCGAATTGAAACGAACGACAGAGTCGTGCGCGCTCACTTGGGGAGCCCGCCCGTGCCCATCAGGGCATAGCATGAAAGCCGAGGCCTCGAAAATGTAATGTGTAGGCGGACTCACGTCGCGACCACCATTCAATATTTCTGGCGGCTGATGACCATCGTAAGTCGTTCGAGATATTGTGCTCGTGTAGGAGGAAGGGGGAGATGAGAAGGAGGAGGAGGAGGAGGAGGAGGACGGAGGGGGCAGGAGGAGGGAGGAGGAGCAGAAGGGATTTTTGGTTTGCGCTCAGATTCGCCGAGGAGACGGTCAGGTTGAGCAGAAGGGAGGCAGGGAGGGAGGCAGGAGGGGGGCCGGAGGGAGGGGGGGGAGAGGGATGGGAGGGGAGCAGCAAACGGACGAACGGAGGCGCGGAGAGCTGGCAGTGGCAGGAAAGAGCGGCAGGACGCGGCCATCCCGGCATC